GCGGCCCGTCGCGCGGCTCCCTCGCGGCGCCGCCTCATCCGCCTCACGGGGCCGCGCCGCCGCAGGTAAACGGCGGCCGCGCTTCCTCGCCGCACTTTCGCCACCCGCGGCGGGCAGGCGCGTGCGGGGAGCAGGCTGTTTATCCGYGGAGGCCGATTCGCCGCCCGCCGTTCCCGCCTCGGCTCCTCCTYCGCCATGGCGAGCGCGCCCTGAGGGGAGGCCGCCGCCATCGCCCGCCCCGCCGCCTTCCCGCTCCTGTCGCGGCTCGGCTGCCCCGCAGGAGGCCTGCGGGCTCCCGCAGGAAGCCACGGCGGCTGCTGGGCGGCGGCGGCTGCTTCCGATCGCCCCACGGCCGCTGCCCTGTCAGGTGAATCATGGCGGGTCTTGGCTCCACAGTTGGGCGCGTTCAACTTCGGGCTGCAGAGTGCTAAATCTGGAGTTATTTTGCCCTAAACGTCTTTTGTTTTACTTAAGAGCTCCTCAGTCCGCCTTGACAGAGACACCACAGTGAAAAGGCACAGCCGGCCCTGCTCTGTGGCGCTCCTGTCAACAGGGATTGTGCCCAGCCCTGTGCTGCTCCAAGGAACTGCCAAGATGCCAAAGCAGGTAAGGAAGCAAACCGGGATCTGTGTGCTGATTAAACTGAGGGAATTCCTGGCTGCTTTCCCTGCAGTCGAGCTCAAGGTAACTCCCCATGCGTTACTCAGCCCTGCTCTGTAAGCTCGGCGATGACAAACGAGCTGTTGCCTGTTCGGTGTTGAGCTGTGGCCTTTTTAGTTATTGAGATGTGCTGCTAAAACAGAGTAGCGATTGTTGTTATGTTATGCCATTGGCTTTAATAAGCGCTGCTAATGCATCTAGCGCATGTTCTTACGGATATATTTTTTTCTCCCAGTAAAATTAATGAATCAATGAGCTGTGCAGTACTACTTTAGAAGTAATTGCACTTTCAAATACTGCTTTTCTTTTGGCTAAATAATCAACATCTCAATGGATGTTGAACAAAAATGCATTCAGGCCAGCAAAAGGAAGCCCTTTCTCGGGTCTTGCAGTATTAGCAGCACAGTGGGACTCTACTGGTGTATGTAAAAGAGTAAATTTGCAAAAACTGATCTTGTCTGTGGAGTGCTTTATAATTGTGCATACCTCTTCTCTGTGAAAGCAGTGAGCTTTGTAACGTTTATTATGAAGAGAGTAGCAGAAATCACCTTGATGGCATCACTTAATTGCATTGCTAAGCATTTTCTTTGCTATGTAAACTTTGTGTAACTGGAAATGAGCTCTCCGCAAGATACAAAGCTCCTAAATAAGTTTACCTCMTGTCATGGCAATGCTGCTAACTGAACTGGACACTTTTTCTGTACAAACAAGGTGATACTGTTCATTGACTTGGTTAATTTGTAAAGAACTTGTGATTCTAAATACAAATGAGTAGGGATACTCTGAAGGAGCTTCTGTCAAGGAGAAGGGAGACAGAAAATGAATATCCAGAATAGAAAAATCAGGACTGGCATCTTTTCTCTCTTTAATTTTCAGTTCTCCCCGCCAAAATGACAAACAGGACCTGAAATCTCTGCTTGCCAAACTTTCCATTACGTGGAACAACTGTGTCCTTCCAACTAATATTGTCAAGGACACGGAAGCCCGGAAGCTAGGATTTAAATGCATAAAGACCTTCAAAGGGGACAAATCTTCACTTAATGCAGGCCACACATTATAATGTTACCATTTCCTTTCCCTGGCTGACCTGTGTACAATTCACTCTTGGGGCCATCAATATCTGCTCTTAAACTGAAGGTTTTTCCTAAGAAAAATGCACCTGCTTTAGCCTTTGCAGCCAGTCCTTCCTGCTTCTGCCAGCTCACAGAGCGTTTGTACTAAAGGGATGACATTCAGAGGCTTAGAAATCTACTGGTTAAGAATGCTGTATAAGTGTGTCTGTGCAGCATGACTGTAAAATTGCAAGCACCAGGGAGTGTGATCCCAAGGACATGTTCTTCCCAAGAGCCCTTCCTTACAGTCAGAATTGCCAGGGATAAATTCAGCTTATAAATGATGCTGCCAGCTTGCCATCTCTCATGCRGCAGATAATTCCTTTCTAAATATGGGATTCACTGTGGGAAGCACTGAGGCAGGGGGAGGGTTTTCATTGCCTTCAAATTGAGAGGAAGAATAGCTCAAATATACTAAGTTACGATTCCTGCTGAGACTGAACTGCTGATATTCAGAAGAGGAAGAAGAGCTGTGAACTACAGCTGACAAGATGAAAGTCCAGCTGTATCCAGCTTTTGATTGATGTTAATCTCTCTTGTCTCTTCTAGGTGAACGGCCAAAAAGACAACTCTGTCATGCATGGTGACCTCAGTGACTCTTTTGAAGAAGAAGTTAGAGCTCTTTTCAGTGACGAAGAAAAACTACATCTTTTTGATGACCTAACAAAAGTTAATCCAGTGACAACTACCACAGGTAAGTCTACTGTAGCACAGGCATCTCRCAAGGAATCCCTTTCCCTAGTGACCATCAATATATGGCAGTTACTATTCTCATTGCATTCATCCTATCATGAACACAGTAATTAAAGACTGAAAGCCCATTAAAGTCCTTAGAAATTCATGCCTGATTGATTCTTTTTAGCACTTTTGGCGCTTTTATTGTAGATTTAACTGTACTGATCTCTCAGCGAGCTCTGTATGCAGAACTCATGTTTGTGTTATTGGTCCAGACAACCAGCGGGTGGCCAAGAGTCAGTGCTACTGAAGGACTCGCAGATGAACATTCATTAACTAATGCCTTAAACACTTTTAAAAAAATAAATAAGCAACAGCAATTCATTAAAGATGCTTTAGTCTATTAGACATATATCACTTTCTTGCTAAGGTTGTCATTCTCTATTAAACCTAATAGGTAGCATATCTAAAAGGTTTTTTGTTGTTAGAAATAGGAGACATATTTTTCAAAAATTGCTAACAGAAGGTTTATCTTTCAGTTTTGAAATGTCTTCAAGCAAGATATGCAGTAAAGTTGTTTTATACAAATGCTGGTTGCAGCCTTGTGGCTTTAAATCCATTTCAGTCTATCTCCTGCCTCTATTCACCTGAACTTATGAGAGAGTATCACGCCGCACCTCGTCCTCAGGTAATCCTTTATAAATGAAATAGCTGTCCATCTGCAGAACTCAGAGGATGTCAAGTTCTTCTTCAAAAAGAAAATCCTAAAGGATAAAACCAATTTCTAGTGAAATAACAGTACTGCTAAAGCAGCAGCATTCAGATAGATGTGAGAGGGCCTTTGCTCTCCGCTGCTGTCGAACTGTATCATTATGGTCTCTTAAATCTCTTCTGTCTTACTGCCAGGATTTAAAACCTCACATATTTGTAGTGGCTGAGCAAACCTACAGAAATGTCCAAAGCCAGCTAGACCCCGTAAACCAGTCTATAATTGTCAGTGGAGAAAGTGGTGCTGGGAAGGTAAGGAGACTTTTTTTCTRCTTTTTTTTTTTCTGACATTGCTTTTATGTTTTGAGATTTTATGGTGCCAAGTATTTCAGTGAGCTAGGAAAAAAAAATTTCCATGACAGAGTATATAATCTGTCTACTGTAGTAAGGCTCTACTGAAATATGTGCAAAGCTTTAAGTGTCTATTGCAATCAAATAGATTGTATTTAGTAATAACAACTCTTTAGGCCACATCTGGAACATCTACGAAGGCAAAATGCAAATCATTCAACAGATAATGAAGCTGAATGAGTCAGTGCTACTCAGTCTCAGTCCATTAAGGAGCAAGTGTGGGTCTCAGCAAACCCTGTGTAAACACCCAGAAGAGATGGGGGAATTCAAGTCCAAACCTAAGCCTTGTTGTAATGATACATCCCTATTCAGCAAAATACTAAGGGATATTTTTAAGCCTGAGAACAGAATGATTTGCTGAGTGTTAATGGTGCAAAGTCCATTTATATTCAATTAATCTTAAGATACTAGCTGTTAATTCTAGCTGAGCTTCCAGATGGCTACATCTTGATAAAAATGTCATTCAGTAAAGTACTCATATTCCGATGACACTTAAATGTTGCACATAAGCATATGCATAAAAAATCTGCTAAACTGGGGCTGTAGATCTGATGTAGTTACTCTCTTTAGCATCACTGCCAGCTGCATACTGTGTTTTTCGTGGAAGCCAGCACTCTCTTACAAACTAACATAGTTGTTAATGTAGTAAAAACATATTGCCTGTTGACAGTCCTTCTCTTGCAGACGTGGACATCTCGCTGCCTTATGAAATTTTATGCTACCGTTGCTGCTTCAGTTACTTCCCCCAAAGGCAATGAAACTGTGGAGAGGATAGAGAAGAGAGTTTTGGATTCCAACCCTGTCATGGAAGCGTTTGGTATATGTGGCTTTTTAACAGCAAAGAGAAGTAATCGCCACTGTAGAAATTGTCTTTGTTAATGCATAAGTCTGAGCTGTCTTTTGTTCCTCTCCTTAAAAGACAAATTCWTCAAATACTGGAGCAATAAACAAATCACCTTAATGTCTATATATCCTACATGGAAGAGTAAAACCACTCTGATCATGCTGTATCTGTCACTGGTAACTTCACAGGAAATGCATGTACCCTGCGGAATAACAACAGTAGTCGTTTTGGAAAATATATCCAGCTTCAATTAGACAGGTGATAACAAGTGCCTATTATGCTTATTTGTTTGTTTTCTTTAAATCTTTAAAACAAAATTCTAAAATCTGCCATAGAGTATTTTGTGTATGAAGTTTTTTTTCCCCTCCAGATTCCACCATCTGAGTAGTGCTTCCATT